TTTTTTTTTTTTTCCCTTGTTTTGGTATTATGTGAGATACTGAGATGAGGAAAATATAATCCTTAATCCTTATCCTCAAGAGGCTAAAAGTCTACTGAAGGAGATAATTATGCATTCAAATATTTATCACCTAAAATAGAGTGAGGTGTGCTAGGACAGGTATGCTTTGGATACAAAACAAGGAGAGGTTATTGCTGAGAGGTGAAATTGGAAAGGTTTTATAAAGGACATAGCATCTAAGTTCATCCTCGAGGCTTGAGTAAGATTTGAGTTTGCAGAGTAGGAAAGGAGAGTATTGCCAGTGTAAGTAGGAAAACATAATACCTAATTGTGGGAAGGGAAGTGATTTTTCCAGTTTGCTTCTGGCTTTTCTATTCTTTAGTGTTATTTATGGATACACTCAACAGATTGAAATTTCACTTTCCTGTTGGGCAACCAAAAATTTATCTCCTTGCATATACTTTAAGGAGAGGAAATGTTTGCCTGAATGGGGTCCCCGTGGTCATTTGCATCCTGTGGTCCTTTGGTGGGACCACGTTCCATTTCTGCTCCCATGGAGGGTGTGATAGTCTTGACACATCCTTATTCAGCCCAGTTGCATTAGGAAGTGCTTCTTCCCTTTCAGCCTTTCCAAGCGAAGAACTTTATCTTTTAAAGGTTTTCTCTTTACCGAGGGCCTAACATGGGTCAAACTACATCTTGGAAAGGGAGACATAATTTGGAACTAGGAATGAAAGTTGGGCATCTGTCCGACCTGTAACCTGTTTGATTGCTTGTAGGATTAGAGACGGGCCAGCTTCCTTTCCTAGTTGGGTGATGGTGTGGCATCTGAAACCAGGCCTGTGTTTTTCTGGCAGGGCAAGAGCCGACCAGCGGATCACCGAGTCTCGCCAGGTGGTGGAACTGGCAGTGAAGGAACACAAGGCCGAGATTCTCGCCCTGCAGCAGGCTCTCAAAGAACAGAAGCTGAAAGCTGAGAGCCTCTCCGACAAGGTCAGTGCCCATCCCTTCTCCCTTTTAGGAGAACGTTTTTGTTTCCTTGTCTGAAAGGCCTGCTTGGTACAAATTCGAATGCAATCCTTGTAAACACATTTCACACGCATATGCTCCTACTCTGCAAATGTCACGTGGTTGTGCTTCACTGTGGGCATCCTTGGTTGGCCATAGTGTAGGTGGGTGTGGTGGGTACTGGGTTATCATGGTCGGCCACTGACTTTTTAACATCTGCCTCTTTGGGTCCCTGAGGTCTGAATTTTGATCTGGGTGCACAACTCTCTTGTTTTCTGGCTTCTTATTTCTAGAAGGCTTTACGAATTTAATGTTGAGTATTCTTGGGAAGTACTTGGTGGCAATGGTGAATGCTCATTCCATTGCTGCAAAAATAGGGAGCTCAGCTTTTCCAGATTGTAAGTTTAGGGACGTGATAAGGTCTGAGGACACATGCCGGTCCTCAGTATTTCACATTGGAGATACATGTGTTCCATCCGTGTACTGTTCCATATTATATTTATGAAGAGATGTACCCCTGTTTTAGAGATGTTATCTAATAGTCTTGGAGGAGATGTATAACAGATGCTTTAATGTTAAAGGTAACAAAAGTGAAGATTAGAGAAATTTTATGTATGTACACACAGACTCAGACACATTCTTTTTTGTACACACACACAAAGTAACCATCTGATTTTGTGTTTTATGTAACTTTGTTATTTCATGATTATCACAGTAATTATTTAGGGTATTATAGAAAATTGAGAAATAAGCCAGGTGCAGTGGCACACTCCTGTAGTCCCAGCTTCTCAGGAGGCTTGCTTGAGCCCAGGGGTTCTGGGCTGTAGTGTGCTATGCTGATTGGTGTCTGCACTAAGTTCAGCATCAATATGGTGACCTCTCAGGAAGAAGGGACCACCAGGTTGCCTAACGGGGTGAACTGGCCCAGGTTGGAAACAGAGCAGGTCAATACTCCCATGCTGGTCAGCAGTGGGATGGCACCCATGAACAGCCCCTGCCCTCGAGCCTGGGCAACATAGCGAGACCCCGTCTTTAAAAAAAAAAAAAAAAAA